CGATAGAAGGAAGTGTCTGAAACAAATTAAAAACAAAAGGCAGTATAGTCACACGGACAGAGACCCGAAAAAGTTGCAGCATCCCCGTAGGTACGACATTCAACAAGCGCTTTGGTGTTGATCGGGTGGGCCTCGAGCGTAGGTTCACTGTCTTCACCAAGGACGTCATCTCCCTCCCTCGTGACCCACCTAGAGAGGAAGAAACCATCAAAAAAATTGTTGAGAATACCGAAGTCCCCCTCATCCTCGGCACCCATGTTGCCCGCAGGAGTATGATATGGCCAAGCCCATGGTTATAATGAGCCCAAAACCAATGGATAGGAAACTTAGAGAGCCTTATGATCTCTTTGCTCCCATATTCGTATAGAATAGCTTCCCCATACTTGTCGATGATAGAAACTAGGTCGAACACCGCATCCACTGCCTCTTGGGATTAGGGTTGCGCGACATATCATTTGTCCTTAAAGTCACAGACAGAGTCCATATACATCCTGAAAAGTCTCTTGGATTTCTTGACAGAAACCCAATTATGTTTTCCTCCCTTAGATTGTCGTTGAAGATGGAAAACCCTGAAGAACAAAGGAATCGTCGCCCCAATCTTTAGATATCAGCAAGTGATCTTGAAAGCCCGTATAAAAGTGATCGCATTGGGGTGCACTTGGGAAGGTGCCAAGGACAAATGATTAAAGACGCCCATTTGAAAGTCACTAAAGGGAAGACGAATCCCCAAACCTATAAAGACAATCCCATACATAGGGAAGCGATCTTCCTGTAAAGTCGAGCATATTCTGGTCGTAGGGGTCGGGCGAAAGATCATGAAATTTCGTCTGAAACCTTCCCGGTTGCTGCCATATTCGACGACCGTGTATGCCTCCCTCCAAGGACCGAGGCTATTCCTAGAGGCTCTGGTATGACCCAGGACAATGATGGATCGGTGACGGTGTCGACCAAATGGAGACCCTCGTTGGCTCCACTTGTTTCCTTTATCTCCACCTGCTTGGTTATCTCGACTGGTTCAACCATTTCACCTATAAAGCAGAGGAAACCAGTGAATTCGACAGCTAAATCAAATCCACCCTTCCACCGCAACACAAGTGAAAGGGGGTTACTATGACCAAACCATGTCGAAGAACCATCGTTCATCAAAAAGCAAACAAACTCATGAATGCCACGGGGAGAATATGAATCTCTCGAGCAAACTCATGAATGCCACTGGGAGAATATGAATCTCTCGGGAAAATTAATGAACGCCGCGAGGAGAATATGAATCTCTCGAGCAACCTCGTGAAGATGACGAGAGAGAGAGAGAGAGAGAGAAATTTCCAGAGCAAACCCATGAGTATCGCGAGGAGGGGATGAATCCCCCGTGCCATTTCATGAGTTTTGCAAGGATCAGACGATTTTTACGAGCAAATTCGTGAGTTTCACGGTGAGGGGTATAAATATCCCGAGGAAAATTCCCCTGAAGTTGAAATTCATTAGGAATCCATAAATCCTATGGGGAAATCCTTCCGGAAATTTCCACAAAATACTAAAACAAACAAACACAGAAAAACACTTACTTGGTTGACGTTGATATGGGTGCTGAGGCGGAAAGCGCGGTGGTGTTCACAACATAGAGGAAGATTGGCGACAGTGTAGAGCGGAGAGAGAATGAGAACTTGGAAAAGTTCCAAATGAGCCATGGGATTCTATTTATAAAAGTTACGCAGAAGATGAAGTGTCGCGTCTAGCAACGTGTCAGTTAATCAATTATCTGTCATCCACGTGTCCAGAGCCATAATGACCCCTACTCCATAAATCATCATTCTACCCTAGAAGCTACACTACAGGGCCCACTACGTGATTCTCCTGCAAAGGTTTGGCTCCCCGCGAGTCGAGGAATATGTCGATTATCCCCGCCAACATATTCTGACTTCTATCCGAACAACTATCATACATGGACAACTTCATCTCTAGAAGGAATAAAGTTCCCCGACAAAGCTATCCCCGGCGAACCGGAGAGGTAGTCTTAAGTCATAGCTCTTCCCCTTAGGACCAACGACTTGGGGGTTCTTGTTCTGGACTGTGTTTGCGCTTGGCCCAAACAACATACAAGGCCCAATCCAATCATGTTGCAGGAGGAGGTCGGAAAGAATGACGCTACCATTGACTATGTCGGGTAGAAACGTCACCCTGGCACCAAGGACATTCCCCCTGGGCCTTCCTCGCTATAGGGCTGTCAAAAAATTTGTGTTTTGTTACAGGAAAGGTTTTGGTTGCAATGTCAAATTTTTCAAGTGCAGTAGAGATACTTGGATAAATTTGATGGATGAATCAATTTTGGCTTGTGGAAAATTCAAGTCAAAGATGTTTTGATACAATTAGTATTATATAAGGCATTGAAAGGAAACATTTCCAACATGGACAACGAGAAGTGGGAGAAACTAGATTTGAGAGCTTCAAGTACAATCTGCATGTCTTTGGCTAAGAATATTCTTGCGAATGTTCTTGGTACGTCGTCATCCAAAGAGATTTGAAAGGGTTATATCAAGGAAATGGTGTATTAAATCGATTGTTGTTCAAGGAACAGTTTCATAGCTTGTGTATGGATGAACATACAAAAGTATTTTATCATCTAAGTGTTCTCAATGTTATTGTTTATGAATTAGAAACTATTTGAGTCAAGATTGAAGATGGAGATAAAGCTTTGAGACTCATATGGTTTCTTCCATCTTCCTATGAGCATATTAAACATATTTTGATATATGAGAAGGAAAATTTGAATTTTGAAAAAGTTGGTAGTAAAATCATTTCTTAAGAGAAAAGATTGAAGTGTGAGGTTAATACTTCATTAAACTCAACATTGGTTGCTATAGGAAGGCTTTATGTGAAGAAAAACAATGAAACTGGTGTGAGATGTTGGAAATATGGAAATATTAGACATATAAAGTATAAATGTCTTGATGGGGCAGTGTCAGAGAAGAACTCTTAGTCAAATGCTATCAACGTCTCTCTCGATGTGAGAGAGGATGATCTTTTTTAAAAATTGAGAAGTGTGTCCTCGTGACATCGCTGTCATGGAAAAGGACGAGTTGTTGCTAGCGGATTAATGCATGGGCATTGATGCAAAGTGTGTTGTGAGATTATGTTGATGGTTGAAGAGCTTTCTACCAACATGAAAATTGTGCCATAAAGTTTCAACTTGGTTTTCAGCATGTGAAAATTCTTGAAGCGGTTTAACTTCAAGTGAAGTATACTCTTCTTTAGATGGAGTATGATAGTTTTTAAAATTATGATTATCGATGAAGACAATGTAAAAATTCTTAGAGTGATGTAGCTTCAAGTGATTATACTCTTTATGGTGGAGTATGATTTTCTATGAAAACAATGAAAGCTTATGTATTATTTTCAATCAAGCTGGAGATTGTTGGAGTTGGTTGAAAATATACATGTTGAAGAAGTCTCACGTCACTTGTTTTGTGAGTGAAGAAGTAGTCTAAGACTAAAGTTTTTCAAAGTCTCACATCGCTTACTTTTGTGAAGGAAGAGAAAGTTCAATGTTATATATAGAATTGAAGTTCTTCGTTAGAAGTTGTACCAGTCAAAAGCACTTTAAACTTATATTTGACTTTTTATATTTTCTCTTATATTTTTGTTTTAGAGTATTGTGAGGGGTGGTTAAATATTTGTTTTAGAGAGTGTGGTTGCATTGGAGTTTTGGGGTGGTTGAGAGTAGTCCATATGTTGTAGCAATTTTCATATAGTATTGTTCTCTGGTTGTCATTTGACAACAGTCGTAATTTTTCTCAAGTCTTAAAGTTTCCACTTTAATATCTTGTGTTATTATTTCGTTTATTTTTTCTCTATGATTTGTTTATTGCCAACACATAATTAGGTGACCTCCACCTAAAGAGGCACCTAACATTAGTTTGGCATTCTTTTATTCCATCGACCTGTTATTTTCAATGAAAAATTAGTTAATTTAAAACAATTAATAAATCAGATTAATAAAATGTTTGGTTTGATTTATGAAAAAAAAACAAAAGTAATTTTAGAGGTATAAAATTGATTCTAAATTGATTGAGATGTTTAGTTTTTCTAAAATAGAATTAATTCTCTTCTAAAATTAATTCTACTTAAAACTAAAATTTGTATCTTCTAAATTTATAGATGACTTTTTATTTAAATTTATTATTTAATTCACTTTTACATAAATATATTCAAATATAAACTAATTATATTAAACTCAATTATATTAAAATTAATTTTATCAAACTCAACTATTTTAAAATTTATTATGTTCACTTAACCACCACCCATTCAAACACACATTAAGTTAAGCTCTTGAAAGTGGTAATTGGAAAGTCCTCTAGACCTCCTTCTACTTTCAACAAGTAGACAAGCGACCCTGTCTTATGTATGAGGAGATTATATTTCTTTCATTACCCTAGTTAGTTCAATTTTGGAAGAAATAGTTCAATAGTTCTGGTTATGAGTCCAAATTGGATCGCCCAGTCCACAAAATCCCAAAGTCACACAGTCACCACATTGATAATAAATTGAGATCAAACAATTTAGATTTAATGTATATTTGACTTTTCAAATAATATAAAATATTATATTTAAAATAATCGAATCTCTATCTAACAACAACAATAATATGACAGTGTGAATGTAGCATTTCTTTGAATGCAGTCATTATGAGTCTCTAGATTCTAGTATTGTCATCTATTGGACCTTATTATTTCTTGAAGAGTGTCGGACTCTTAATATCCTAGTTGTTTGTATCTATAAATTTTAGATTAAATTGTGTATTTATTGTGACTAAGAAAGTGATATCATTACCCAAAGAACAGCGAGATAGAAATAAGCAGTAAATTGTAGTTTGAAGCATTGTACTAGGATAACAACAAGTTAACCTTCCAAAGAGGATAATAAAAAACAACAGAATCATAAATGAAACCCTAACCAAGAAACATAAACAAACACCTACAGAACATGAAATATTGGAACCAAATCTAAGCCCTCTCGCCTCTGATTCTGCGTGCAAGTTGAATATCCTTGGGCATGATGGTAACTCTCTTGGCATGAATAGCGCAGAGGTTAGTGTCTTCAAACAAACCAACAAGGTAAGCTTCAGCCGCTTCTTGGAGAGCAGAGACAGCGCTGCTTTGGAATCGGAGATCTGTTTTGAAATCCTGAGCGATTTCCCTCACAAGCCTCTGGAACGGAAGCTTCCTTATCAGAAGCTCGGTGCTCTTCTGGTACTTCCTGATTTCTCTCAGGGCAACGGTTCCTGGCCTGAATCTGTGTGGCTTCTTGACTCCTCCGGTTGCCGGAGCAGATTTGCGAGCAGCTTTGGTGGCTAGCTGTTTCCTTGGTGCTTTGCCTCCGGTGGATTTGCGTGCTGTTTGCTTGGTACGAGCCATTTTGATTGAATTGATGAGAAATTGATTAGAGAGAAGAAGCAGATTTGTGGATTTGTTTTTGTTGTTTGAAAATTGGTATTGGTGTGAAAATTTATAAGGGGTTGAGATTTTGGGAGGGAAACACAGGAATTGTGGAAATTTGGAATGACGAAAAGAGAAGATAGTGACCGTAGATGGGAGAGCTTATCGACGGCTGTGCTTTTCTAGAATCAAATGACGCGGATAGCCTTTTCCAAACGAGCCATGGTGATTGAATTGATAAGTTATTACACAAATTTCATTTAATATATTTAAAAGTTATTTTAAATTTACAATTATATTCTTAAACACTCATTATTATTATTTAATTTTTTATACACATTTCTAGTGTTATTTTATTGTACAGTATCAGTTTCATTATTTACTTTAAGTGATTAAATTATAATTCAATTAAAAAAAAATATAATTTATTATATATGTTCTAATATCAAATGGTTTGAGACTCCTTTGATCGCAGTTATAAAGATTGAAGTGTTGTTTTTCTTATCAAGTCTAACATCAATTACTATTAGATTAATTAACGATTAAATTATTTAAAATCGTATTTTTTATTAAAAAGATATGAAAAATTATATAAAATGATATGATTTCAAAATCTTTCCACATTAATGATCATATTCTAAGAAGATGTGATTTCAAAATCTTTCCGCATAAATGATTATATTCTAAGATGTGATTTCAAAATCATGGAATAATAAAACTATACACTTTTATGAAGTATGAAATAATATTTATAAAACATTAAATAATGAATAATGAGTATATAAGAACGCAGTTGTGAATTGAAAATAATTTTTAAATATATTAAATGAAATTTAATTGTAAAATGAGATAAGACTTATTAATTTTATTATTTATGAATTTATAAATTAATTATTATAAACTCGTTACTCTTAATTTAATTCTTTTTATTTTTATGTAGATTTTGAATATTATTTTTTATTCTATCTAAAATCTTATAAAATTTTATGATTTAAATTAAGTGAATAAAAAAAAGGATCTATTGAAATAAAATAAGATAAAATGATCTAGATTCTTAATTTAAAATATCTCTTTATTACTAAAAGTGAAAGGTATTTTTATTAAATCAATTTATCGTTAACAATTCTCAGAACTTTTTCTCTTTTAATCCTTCTTTTTAGGGGTTATTTTTGGTTATTTTTAAGCTTGAAATCACTCTTCAACACCGTTTTTCTCTCTATTTTTATTTAAATAAGTAGTTATCTACATAGATTTGTTTCTTCTTTGTGTTTTTAAGTTTTTGTCATTGTGTGCGAAATTTGTTGAATTTTTTGTCTTAATCTGATGTTCGTTGGTTCCGATTGACATATTCACTTCAACTCGTTACATATCTGATGAAGACTTTGGCGTCAATATTGTAGATTCGGAAGTATGAATATTTGAGTTACTTTTATTTTATCATATTTATAGGTATTTTCATGTTGTCGTTGTATGCTATTGTTGGCTGGGATTTTCATAAAGAGAGAAATCCAAACCAAAAATCAAAAAGGGTATGTTCTGAACTGGGCCCGCCTTGGCCCAAAAGCAAGAACAAAGGCCCAATCCAAGCAGCTCCTCGAGGAGAGCGCGTCCACGGATTCCCGTCAGCGCACCCGACCACAGACTGCAGCTGTGCCCGTCGTTGCCCGCGACACATGGTGTCCCCGACCACGAGAACTTCAGCTCGAGTCCAGCTCGAGCACCCTCCTCGTAGGGCGGATTCAGACCGTTACTAAATCATCTGAACTCCGGAAAGACCGCGTCTTCGTCCCTCCTCATTTCTCGCAGAGCATCACCAGGAAGGGGGCCACGTGCGGGTCCCCACTACACACGTAGAACCTGGCAGTTCCTTTATTGGGTCAATTCTGGTCGGCCCAATGAGGGGACCTTGGCCCCGCGCTGGGGGCTATAAATACCCTCTGTTCCTAGAGGGTCAAGTATTCATCTCTTACGTATACATACACTTTTTTCCTGCTCATTTCGTCACTCATTTTAGCATCGGAGTGTCTTACAGGTACCCCCCCCCCCCCCCATCTCATTCAAAATTCTGCCCGAGCCAGCCGTGTGTTGGCTGAAGATTTTGATAATGTTATTTAGAATTCAAAAGAGTTAAAAGTTCTGATCGAAATGGAATTAAACGCCATATTTCGAAGTTGCAGAAGCAGTGTTTCGAATAAGTGTGTCAAAGCTTGAAGCTTCGAACGGTGATTTTGGGAACATATCCAAAGGGATCTCGAAACAACAGCGAGGCTAGGTTTGGGAAGAGCGTTCGAAACGGAGAAACACCAAAGCATTTAAAATTCAAATGGAAGCGGGACTTTCAAAGTTTGAAAGTTATGTGTTGGAGCATTTGGGGACACGTGGAAAGATGAAAGAAGCATTGTCTTGCATGTTCGAAACGTGGCATGATCCTATAGCGAGACCGTTAGGGTCGAATTAGTATAAATAGAAGTCTTAGTATTAGGATTTCGGTGTGTCATATCTGTTATACAAAATACTCAATAACATTCAAACTACCACATGGCAAGGGAAACGAATGCAAGAGAAATATATGTATGATAGCACCATGTATTTCTAACTTAATGAAAGCCTTTTTACCATTTCCAGTACTTTCTTCTTTTCTTTTTGTCAAATAACATTTGCAAGTTTCCTTATTTACTGTCTTTTCATTTCAAAGTCTTTTCCTCAAAGTTTTACGTTTTACTGCTTTCTTTATATTTCGAGCACTTTATATTTCAGAGAACTGTTACACTTTCAATGCCTTTACTTTCAAGTATTGTTTTTCAAGCGCATACTTTTACTTAAAATCATTTATAGATTTCTTGCATTAAACGCTTTCTTCACATTTTAAACTTCTACATTCCAGAAACCTTTTATGTTAAATGTTTTGCAAATCGAAACCATTTACTTCATTTTTCATACAGTTTTATATGTCTCTTCAATCAGCATTACAATTAGCATTTATTCGTATAACTTAGTTTTCATATACATTTTGACCACATTTTTAAACTCTTAGAGAGAAGGATCGAAATAAACCAAACACTTGTACAATAGCAACCATGAATAATTGTTCGATTGTGAGAGTAACCTTAATATCCAAGGAGTCCTAGGATCAATCTAGTTGATCCTGTGAGTTACCAGAGAGATTGAATAGCGTTAATAAAGATTATTCGATAGTTTGGAAGACTAGCGGTTGTTTACCAGAAATCACTGGAAACAAATTGGCACACCCGGTGGGACCAATAGTTGGATATCAGAATTAAGGACTGTCGAGACGTAGCCATCCCAAAAACGTAGGAACCTAAGAAGTTTGCTGTTTTATGAACCTGAGAAGTGGTAAGATAACCAACAGCAACCAACCTTTATCCAGAAGAAAACGTTTGGACAAAATGTCTAATTCAGACAATCAACAAGGAGACCAAGGTGGCCCACATGCAACAGGCACTAACGCGTCCATTTCGAGCGGAACATCTAATGTAATCCCTTCGAATGCACAGTCTGTTGCATCTTCAACCAGTAACATAGCCACCAATGGAGTAAGTGGCATATCAACTAACAGTTCGATCTTAGGAAATACTGGAACTATGGGCTACCCTGGGGGATTCGTTCCACCACCAGGAACACAATCCCATTTCGCCACACCATTAACTAGACCACCCGGCTTCGATGGGAATAGAATTAGAAGTTCTTCTTACGAAATGCCAACATCTTTTATGGCAGGTTTACACAATTCCACATCGAATTCATCCCCACAACTAGGATCTGGGTCTGGGACGAACCAATTTATGACAAATAACCAAGGGTCAGTGGGTTATAGCACGTTGCCTATCCTAACCACAGATAACCAGTTGGCTTTTAGGCAATTGATGGATGACAGCAACCACAATATGATAGGGGTGTTAGCGCAAACCATGCAGGAAATATTTGCCCCAATAGTTCAGAATGTGACTGACGAACAGGGAAAACGCTGACAATATGAGTCGAATAGCAGATTTCTTTGCTCCCACAGAAAGGCGTAGGCAGAACCAGGCGGGATTTCGAACAAACATGCCTGTTATAGAACAAATTGCTAACGACCCAATTCATAGACCACCCAGAGAAGAAGCTAACTTAGGGGCCAGAGCACCAAGGTTAGAAGCCCAAATAATTCCGGGCCCACAGAGGGAAGTTATGGAACCAGGGGCAAGGATCGAAAGGCCAGAAGCCCCAGAATTTCGAGAAGAACAACCTAGGGGAGTTGTTTTGGTTGGTCGAAATCAAGATGCCGATGCCGTCGTTCATAGGATTCGAAACGATAACATCTTGGCAGAAAATAACCTAACCACCATGATAGAGAGGATCATGGCCCAGAATGGCCTCAATACGGGAATGAGGAGGCCAAATTACGCTTCTCCTATATTGGATTGTATAATGCATACTGATTTACCAAGGGGATACAAAGTCCCTAAATTTACAAAGTTCGCTGGGGATACCAACGAGTCAACAGTCGAACACATAGCGAGATATCTAACCGAAGCGGGAGATATAGCCAATAATGAAGATCTCAGGATCAAATACTTCCCAAGTTCCTTGACAAAAAACGCCTTCACTTGGTTTACCACGTTGCCTCCTGGGTCTATTGACAATTGGACCCTTTTAGAGAGATTATTCCATGAACAATTTTACATGGGACAATCGAAAATAAGTTTGAAGGAATTGGCCAGTGTTAAGAGAAAGTTCACTGAACCCATAGATGATTATTTGAATAGATTTAGGCTGTTAAAATCCAGATGTTACACAGTAGTGCCTGAACATGAGTTAGTCGAAATGGCCGCTGGGGGTTTGGATTATTCTATTCGAAAGAAATTAGATACTCAGTATTTGAGGGATATGGCTCAATTAGCCGATAGGGTTCGACAGGTCGAAAGACTAAAAGCCGAAAAAGCCAAAGTCTTTAAGAATAGTAAGAAAGAAAGGATTTC